AGACTTTAAACAGAAACTGGGACAAAGACTCTATAAAGACACACACACACACACCCTCACAAACACACAAACGCTCACAAACACACAGTCAACCACAAACTGGAGATACACACAATGCTCACAAACATACATACACACACACACACTCACACATTCTATCTTACTCTCTCACACACACACACACACACACACACACACACACACACACACACACACACACATACACATAAACACTCACACACACACACACACAAACATACTTACATAAGCAAACACATTCTCACACACAAAATCATGCACATACACACTCACACACACAGACTTCTAAAAGATGGTCTTTCAGCATGTCTGTGTTTCTCATACATGCACACAAATATACACACACACACACAAACACGCACGCTCACAAACACACAGTCAACCACACAAAGGAGATACACACATGCTCACAAACATACATACACACACTCTCATACATTCTATCTTACTCTCTCACACACACACACACACAGACACACTCTCATTCTCACACAAACACACACCCTCACATACTCTCTTACTCTAACACACACACACACACGCTCACAAACACACAGTCAACCACAAACTGGAGATACACACATGCTCACAAACATACATACACACACACACACTCACACATTCTATCTTACTCTCTCACACACACACACACACACACACACACACACACACACACACACACACACACACACACACACACACACACACACACTCACACACACACACACACAAACATACTTACATAAGCAAACACATTCTCACACACAAAATCATGCACATACACACTCACACACACAGACTTCTAAAAGATGGTCTTTCAGCATGTCTGTGTTTCTCATACATGCACACAAATATACACACACACACACAAACACGCACGCTCACAAACACACAGTCAACCACACAAAGGAGATACACACATGCTCACAAACATACATACACACACTCTCATACATTCTATCTTACTCTCTCACACACACACACACACACACACACTCACAAACATACTTACACAAACAAACACATTCTCACAAACAGTCACGCACATACACACTCTCTCACACACACACACACACACACACACACACACACACACACATACATGCTTACAGACATACTTACACACACATAAACGCTGTCACAAACACTCACTCTCATACACAAACATACATACTCACACACAAACATACATACTCACACACACACACAAACACTCTACCTCACTCTCACATAAAACACATGCACACACACACACAAACACACGCACTCATACTCTCTATTTCACGGATATAGATAGACAAACACAGACGGGCACATACAAAATCTCTCTTTTTCACACACACACACACTTTTTATCTCTCTTTTTCACACACACACACATACACACACACACACACATACTCCTGAGAGCTGGTCTTTCAACATGTCCGTGTTTCTCTGTGTGTGTGTTTGTGTAGGAGACCTTCACAGCGGAGTGTAAGTTTAAGGAGAGTGTGTTTGAGAATTATTACGTGATCTACTCGTCGACACTTTACCGGCAGCACGAGAGCGGACGCGCCTGGTTCCTCGGACTCAATAAAGAGGGAATCATCATGAAGGGAAACCGGGTCAAGAAAACTAAACCGTGCTCACACTTCGTACCCAGACCCATTGAAGGTGACCACACACACACACACACACACACACACACACATACACATACAAATGCATACTGAATACGCACACACAAGAATACACACACATGCATAAACACATAAACACACGTACATATATACACACTAACACAAACACACATGCATACATATATCTCACACATGATTTAGTGCATTTATGTAGCGAGTATCCAGCATTTATTAGATTTGCAAGGAATATTTATGAATGTCTCTAATAGACCTACAGAGCGGTATTAATGTGTCCTGAAGTAAAGTGAAACGGCTATACGTCGTGTTTGCTGGCCTCACGCATCACACGCATGTCAGTCAGCCAGTCAGTCAGCACGTAACCTTAAAGGGTTAAACAAATGATGCACAGCACTGCTACAGTTACAGAAAAGTTTGCGCGGTTATAATTTACTCATCTTTTAGTAGGTTTTGATGCGATTATCACCCGCTATTAAAAAAATAAATGTTTTGAATGAGAAGCTGTAATGTAGCCGTGGCTTGATGAATTTTGGCATGGCGCCCCGCCATTGAAGAATGAATGTAGCAGAAACCATGGATATATATATATATATATACATACAGGGCCGGAGCAAGCTGAACAGCCGCTCTAGGCAGAGGACAATCACGCCGCCCTCAACCCCAGGGTGAAAACGAAAGTGACCGGTTATGAAAATGAAGTGAGGTTATTCTGCCTCCCTATGCGCGGATATAACTGAGGACACGCAAGTGCTGAGGGAGCGAGGGAGGTGTTGCGGACACTGCGCGCTTTATTTTGCAGCCCTATGCGCGGATATAACTGAGGACACGCGGGTGCTGATGGAGGTGACGCTGACGCCGCCCTCTTTATTCTATTGTCTATGCGCGAATATATCTGAGGACATGGGGGAGGTGTCGCAGACATATCTGAGGACGCAGGTGGTAAGGGAGGTGTCGCAGACGCCGCCCTCTCTTTACTGCCGCCCTAGGCAGCCGCCTAGGTCGCCTATATGGACG